ACATTTCAACCCCGACCCCATTGTTTATGGGTTTGCACTTGGATTGCCGATATCCCACAATGAAGCTGTTCCTTTACACTTGAACGCTTGCCCAAAACAAGACCTGTCGATGACTTTGATTCCTCTTCAATTCTGCATAGTAACATATTAACTATTGACTTGCGGTCGGTCTTGCCTACCTATATTTCAAGAAGCCTCTTTCAATTTGCTAATGTCGACTAATATCAACTTAAAATAGGAATCACTTTTTCGTAGACTAGAGGTTCCTAAACAGAATATATGCCTAGTTCATGTGAAGCTACCTGCATGTGATGCATATTAATGAAGACTTACTTTTACTGTGCAGCAGTATAAAGCAGCCAATAAGTTAGCCTAAGCACCAGATCCACTCAAATTTATCAAGAATTATTCCTGCACACTAAATCAGGAAAGTGAGACTAGCCTGCCATTCAATTTAGGCAACCCACCCACCCTCCTCCCTCCTCCCTGCACCAGGGTGGAGGTACAACTTGACTTCTTTCTTTGACATATCTTGAAGGGAGCCAGCCTGGATCATGCTAGACTGCATTTCGTGGTGCAAGTACAACAATTCACTTAAATTTTCACGTAGGGACAACGAACAAGTGATCTGATCATGCAGACTGAGTACGAGTGACCTAGCATAAGGCATCACACGATCTATCAGGTTTCCATTAGAGAGGATTCCAATTAATTTATTCTTATTTTACCTCTGTTGCGCTTTGCATAAAAGTTCAAAGCATTGTGATATAAATTTCATCTTATCACTCTCTTGCTACTTCTTTCTAAAACTCAAGATTGTCACCTTGAGTCATCATTTTGCATCAAAATATATGAAAGTTGGATGCCAATTCATTGAGTTCTAAGAAGTTACCTCTCGAGTTACTAGTGTAATTGGTCAATTATCTTAGAGAAAGATATTCTGAATGTCACATCCTTCAATTATAATTATTTCCAGTTAATATGACGCTGTATAGTCACCAATATTGAGTTGATAATATGCCTCGCCTCATTGGTTAAGTGTGTTTAATGCAGGAGACGACATAATCTAAGTTTCTCACCGGGGCATTCATTTGTGCACTCCCACATATCCAAGACTAGTGCTAGAAATGAGTACCTAAATAAAATCAGCAAATTTTTTATTATTAATCAGAAGTCATTTGGATGAATTCCAACAGCACAACATTGAATGGTTGAAAGCGAATTGGTACGATGAATATAAAGAGAAAGTAGTTTAGGAGATTAGAACCAACCTACAATTATTCGCTCTCAACTCCATCTATTGCTGCAGAGCAAATGAGGGAGAAGATGAGGTTGTGGGAAAAATTCATGTCCATACGAAACCAATGTAGGTGAATGTTAGCGCCAATAGAATGCTCGCTGAAGGGGTTATGGAGTTAGGCCTCGAGTGACTTCAGGGAACATGTCATGTCCTATCGAACCATTACATAGATAAATAGCAGTTATTTTACAACCATACGCTGCTATTACCTTCCATCTAAATTTGAGCTCCTTTCGATGCTTCGTACGTGGGCGTTGAGAAGTGAGTAGTAGTACTATTACGCAGAAGTCATTTGGAAGAATGGCAATCCCTCAACATTGAATGGTTGAATGCGAATTGGTACGTGGGCGTTGAGTGGAGAATTTTTGATATTTTCCATTTCTGCAAATAAGATTACATCCTATATATTAGTTCTTTAAATCGCAGCTAAATGATTCAAGGTTAACGACGAAATTCAGGGAAATTTCCAATATTGGTTTAAAGTTAAACAAGAACACAACATTTAGCGGGCAACAATACAAACCCACCATATTCTACTGAGTTACATTTTCATCGTTGAGCAGCTACATGTCTTGAGATTAACCAACCGATTTGGCAATGGCAAATTCATTGTAGAAATTCATGACGTTAAGATTCATTTGAGTGACGCCTGGTATTTCACTTGGATGTCCAGTTCGTGAAGGCAACTTAAAATGAGCTGAATCTTCTCTTCGTGGTTGCCTGAAACATCTCCACTTCTTCAGAAAACTCTTGTTCAATTACCTTAAGGGTTTGTGGCTAAAGTTGAAGAAATTGCTGCAATAGTTTAAGGTCTCATGACAGAAACAATACCTGGGGTCACCCAGATGTGATATATGTAGGCGTGTTACATTGTAAACAGTATTAGAGTCACTCAAGCCCACTGTTTCACTGTACTACGATGAGTTAGATGAAGTTTAACCTGATGTATTTCCATCGCTAATGCCACCAATTTTCTTATTTTTTTAGAATGTACACTGTGGGGCTCCTATTGCTAGGAATTGTATCAGTGTCGGTGAAGTGGATGGTTCGTTCAGAGAATGGGGGTCTCTTGAATGTCATATTTCAAATCAAGAGCCAAAATCCAACTCACTTTCAACTTGCCCCAACATCGGACTTTGAATTTTACAAAAATTTGATTCTATTCAAACCTCAATCTCTCTCACTACTTGATGCTATTCCAGAGGAACTGGGGGGTGGGCAAAAGGGTGTGAAGCATTCCCACGACAATCCCAATCTCGAGGCTATTACTCTGTGGTTGACGATCGGCTCTTTTTCGCTCCTTTGCATTTCACTTTTCTTGGCGCTGATGAGGCCTTGCTGTCGTAGTCACCAGGTTAGTGAGAAGGAAGCAAGTTATCGGTTGACTTTTGTTAAAGTTGAACCTTAATTAGTAAAGTAAGAATTAATGACATGTGGATTTAATAGGGGGAAGAGGAGGTGGACTCTGTGGAATTGGCAAGACAAAGAAATCAGTCCTCGAGAAAAATTCTAATTGGAGCATCAATTTGCATCATTCCTGGCCTACTATGTCTCCTGTTCTTTTACTTCTCAAGTATGAATCTGCTGATTGAGGCTCTGGGTACTAGCCCACGAAATCAGACAAATGGATCAGATTCCGTGTCTATCGCCCTATTTGATGTGCTCAAAAGTACACACAGACATGTTGACTCCTTTTTACAAGAGAGCGTTAAATCCGGAGNTCCTATCATGTGTGGCTGAGTGAACTAAGTAATTGATTGGCTGATTTATACCCAAAATTAAATGCACACGAGAGTGTTTACATGGATTCGCATTCTGATACATCACCAAAATGTTTGTTTTTGTAAAGAATTGTTCTCGAAGTGATGCTTGTTCATGAAGCACAGAACACTGCAGCACTAAACTCAACAATTATCATCTTCATTGCTTACGATTTTCTGTACATAGTAAGCGAAACCGTCGACATTTGGTCCGGGAGGTTGATTTGGTGCAATAGGGATATTCAGAGGCGTTTGTTTGAAACCACAATGTGCACCATGTATACAGAAACATTCAAATCATGCCCGGCACGCACGTGGACTAAATTAGTCGGTCAATCAGTTCTCTTAAGAGTCACCTTCTTGATGCCCAAGTGTACAGTTGAAGAGTTTGTTTCGATAGTTGAAGTAGAAACGTCGAATCACAAAGAGAGCATTAACAATGATGAGGTGTTCATGAGGTGCTGTGATCAACTTGCAGAAGTCTAGCCTTAAATGTCTCGGGATCAATGCTCGTTAATGCCTGATGGAAGATGGGGTTAGCCAATTACCCTGGTTAGTTCTGGTTAACACAACGGTTGCGGACATTCTAGTTTCCCTCAAGTGAGTCATCGTGACTCAAGCCCAGACTCAAGTCATTTGTTTTAAAAACTTAGTATTTTAGGGCTTGTCAAAATCAATAATGTGTTATTTCTTTTGTCTCCTTTGTCCTTTGCCTAATGATCAGAATAGTAAAAGGTGTGCATCTGTTTATATGTGGGTTTCGTTCCTCCTTCCTTGTTGCGGATATATTTCAAGGACATGACCACTAGATTGGTGCAAACGAATTTTACTCATTGGGGTTGGCACAGATGATAGGCTCCACTTAGGTGAATTTGGGTAAAGTAACGTCTTGAGTGTAATCGTGATGTGCACTTCGACAAAGAAATGAAATATGCACGTGTGATGGAGTTATTATTAGAAGGGAAATGTCTCATGAGATCAGTTTCGGCGTCATCAATTAAAGACGTCTCTGGTTGAAAGACGTCAGCACGCAGAGTTGATGTGCAAAGTAACATTTAGGGTTTTATTTCTCAACCTGACGACACACAGGAAACGTGGTGCTTGCTGTTCACTCTTTCACATTTTCGTATCCAACCATTTTCGAGTAAAATTAACAATTTTGATTGGTTAGAGTTATTTTTAGAGTGTGCACATTCACTCTAATGATTCACTGAAAATATTAGGGAACTGGTTCCAATGTCATGAAATTTCTTGCTCTTGTTACAAGATAAATGGCACTACACTTTCCCTTTATCTTGCCAATTTTGCTCTAGGTCCTGCCAAAGTAGTTCCAGTAATCGCGATAAGGCGATGTGAAGTTGCAGTCATGTCGACATTATTATCGAAACTACTATGAATAACAAAAGAAAACTCTCTTTATTTATTTACATTTCAGCAAAAATCCAAAGACTTAGCTGTTCAAGAAACAATTAAGACCTTCAAATTACCTTTAATTCGTCATCTGATTCAAACAACAATTGATTCATCCAGGAATGTCACTGATACATCGGAATGGCGTAGTATGACAAAACTTTATCTTGAAATGGTAGCGTCTTCCTTAGAATTCCGAATTTCTATCAAAAGCGTTTTGCAAAATTTACAAAGCTGTAACAATAACACCTGCAAGGCCACTCAGGTAAGCCCAATTTATTTAATGTGGGTGAATAGCTGTCCATAACAAGCAACCAAGAACCTTTCAGTTGTTTGTTCTTGGAATAGGAGTTGTGATTGTGGTGAAATGTGACAGGGTAAAGGAATAAAAGTTTGGGTAGGAAATCGAAATTTTTCGTAGTTCCGTCTCATTAGTCGAAATTTAAATTTAAAATCATAAATTTTCATATTAAAATTAAGTTTAATCGACAACTCATTTTTCATTTTAGGCCAATTTGAAGAGTCTATATAAGAAAGACGAGATATATTATAATTCTTTAAGAGATTTTCAACAGAAAATCCAAATTTTGGCAGATGTTCAACAAAAAACTGTTACTTACTTAAGAGAAACAAAGAGATCAATAGGTGAACTCAAAAAAAAATTATATCACATTGTGATCTCAACACTGGATCAGGCTGCAGAAAATCAGATTATACGTGAGTTAGATAGGAAATGGAAGAATTTCAGTACCTATGCAAATACAACACTGCAGTATGCAAATACTCACGTGGTCAATTCGATTAAATCTGACTTCAAAAAATTTGTCCCACCTGCCAAAACCACCTTGTACTCCATTGGAGTACTTTTAGTGCTTACACTGTTGGTGTTCATTGGTTTGGTAGTGAATTCAATTACACAGGCCTCACGAATTCACAACGAGTCAGAAAATGGACTCTATTCAGAGACTGGAAAACATGGTTGTTGTGTGGTCTACTGCCTTTCTGTGCTATTTCTTCTGATGAGTGTAGCAGTATCCGTTGTGGTTGGCATGAGTCTTTTCGGATTGGGTGTGCTTTTAGGTGAGTCTATTTTGCTTGGAAATCTACCCCATCCTCGTATGTGTGGTACTAATCAACCGCACTCTCGTTGACAGGTGAAGGTTGTACGTACATCATGAAAGAAACAGGGTATAACAAAACCGACCACATATTGAACGGACTTGGAGAAGACTACTGGGAGACACTATTGATGAAGTACTCGGACAAGTGGCTGAATAAGTCAATTTTCCCGCCTCCCAAGAACATAATCAGAGCTCTCTCGAAAGTTTGCAAAACTGAAAACGGAGACATTGATAAGAGTCTGCTATTTGCCCTGGGATATCGAAGTACTTCCATCGACTTTAAAACTCTACTGTCCAATCCGAAGGTGGACGAAATGATCAAAGGTCTGTGGAAGTAAGATAGCACTTAGAATCCTATATTACATGCCTGTTGTCTATGCACTTAATATACTGAAATTACACCTCTCAGTTTTAGTGAAGCAAGCAGACAGATAATCACAACAGGCTTTGTCTTCAACCTCGACAAGTTTATTACTTCACTTGAATCACTAGACACAATAGACCAACTTTTCAACAAGCATAACGTGATTGTAAGTTTTCACGGAAAATTCCTAAAGTTTTTATTATCTGTTAATCTTCTCCCAGTCATTTCTTACATTTAATCGCACAACAGTACTTTTTCAATCACGCCTTCCGAGTCGAAACAACTTTTAAACCATTTCCGCGGACGAGAATTAAATAGTCTTAGCTCTACAATTCAGTATATTAATGCTATGGCGAT